GGGCAGTGGCTGTGGGCTCCGCGCGGACCGGGCAGCCGCCCCCGTGAGTTATTCGCACGTCCCCCGGGGCTCGCTGCCGCCCCCGCCGGCGCCGAGAGTCCGGCCCGGGCCCAACTCCCTCACGGGCCCCCCGGCGGCGGCGGCGGCAGCGGCGGAGCCCACCGCCCGGGCCCCAATGAGTAACTCCAGGAATAACAGGGTGATGGTGGAGGGGGTCGGGGCCCGGGTAGTGCGCGGCCCTGACTGGAAGTGGGGGAAGCAGGACGGCGGCGAGGGCCATGTGGGCACAGTCCGGAGCTTCGAGAGCCCTGAGGAGGTGGTGGTGGTGTGGGACAACGGCACTGCTGCAAACTACCGCTGCTCCGGGGCCTACGACCTGCGCATCCTGGACAGCGCGCCCACGGGTAAGCTGTGCCCCCTGGCCCGGGGCCTGCGCGCGTCGGGGGAAGGGGCGAGACTGCGGTGGGCTTCGGGGCCGCCTGGCAGAGAGGCTCTCGGTGGGACACCTCGCCCGCTGCCCCCGCCTGCAGGGAGCGGAGAGGGAGAAGGCCAAAGAGAATTTTAGGTTCAGTACGGGTAAACAAAAACTTTGAGAAAAGACCCCCCCTGCCCTCAAGGGAAATGATGGCAGTGCCGTCACTAGGACGCTTTCAAGCCTGGAAGACACAAAGCACCAGGAATACAACAGACACGGTTCCCCTCCTCCTCCTCCTCTAGGGAGGGGGTTTGCAGAGGCCTGTCTAATAAACCATTGACATTAATCAGCCACCAAGTGATAACTGTCTAAAGGGAGGCTTGCCTTGCCATATGGTGCCTGGTTGACTGGTTACAATTGCCGAGGGGCCGTTGGTACCTCGGATTTGAGATACCTTTTTTATTTCTTCCCGCCTGTAACACAGAATGACTTGGAGCTCGGTAGTGGAATGCTACTTGGGACCCTGTGGAATGATTTTTCATCTAAATTGTTTAATTTTATGTCTTAATATGAGTAGAGCGAAAACAGCCTGAGCTCTTGAAGCATTTTTTTTTGTTAAATACTTTTTCCAAGTGGCAGATAGGCATGTTCTTTTTTTGTTAACATCCCGTCTCAGTAAGGTGATGTCAGAGTTTACCCATTCACCCAGCAATGAGTCAGTGTCCTCCTTGATTCACTACATTTTAGGGGTCTGTTTGTTATTGACTCTAGAGTTTCTTAATACGATTAACTGAAGGCTTGCTTTCACAAAATAAATATCTAATTTATTTTAATTGATTTTCACATACATTTATGCTTGATATTATTTATTCTTGATATTTTTCCTTGATTCAGTAGAAAATAGTTCAAACATAAAACTGGATGCTTTCCAGAATTCCTAAATGAACAGCTTCTAAGACATTATGATTTGAGTTTGTCAAAGCCTAACAAATCTTGAAATGGGCTTATAGTTGTTAGCAGCAATAAAAAAGAAAGTAACTCAAGCAAATTCAGTTTTTGAACAGATATTTCATAAAATTGTGTCTCTTAGTTAGCTTTTTAAACATTGAAAAGGATGTATGTGCGTGCAAAAGAAAATAAAAAGATTCAACAGTACAGAAAGGGGCAACTGTTATCAGTTTCTTGTGTATTTTTAAAGAATACTCCCTGCATTGCAAGCATATATGTGAATATACTGTAAATCTACTCCCCTTTTAACGTACAAATGGTGATAAACTATATTCACTCTTGTGCATTTTTTTTCTTTCACTTAATAATTCATATTGATGATTGTTCCATTCTTTCATGGCTGCATAGTATTCCAGTGACTGGATGCAGCAATTTATTTAACCAGTACTTTATTGACAGGCTTTTATATTGTTTTAGGTCATCTTATTTACAGTGATGCAGTGAATAAATCCTTGTACATGTATCTTTGTGCATATGTGTTGAGTACTTTGAAAAAGTGGAATTGCATTAAAGTGTGCACATATTTAACATTTTGATAAATGTTGACTAATTGCTCTTTTATAATAAAAATAATTTTTAAAAAAAATTTTAAGAGACAAGGTCTTGTTCTGTCACTTAGGCTGTAGTGCACTGGTCCAGCTATGGCTCACTGTTACCTTAAATTCCCAGGCTCAAGGGATCCTCCTGCCTCAGCCTCTTGAGTAGCGGGACTACAGGTGCACACCACCATACCTGGCTAATTTTTCTATTTTTTGTAGAGACGGGGTCTCACTATGTTGCCCAGGATAGTCTTGAACTCCGGGCCCCCCAAAGTGCTGAAATTACAGGCAGGAGCCACTGTGCCAAGTAGATTAATCGCACTCTGAAGACATTTTACCAGTTGACACTCCCTGCAACACTGTATGAGGCCTATCCCTGTTTCTGCATACTCTGTTAAAGTTTTGTTACCATGCTAACTCAAGCTAAAGTCTGACCACAACTCTTGGAGGAGTTCTTGGGATCAGTAATTGTAGGTTTATGGGGAAAGTTAAATATCTTTCTAGGGTAAGGTAAAGTGTAACAAGTCCTGGACTATAGTGATTTTTGAAGGGATATTAATGTCTGAATGTTTTATAGTATGGAGTGTATCCTTCATATTAATAGTTTTATTGTCTTAATGTAAAAGCAGGGTTTTTTTCAGAGAACTGTTTTAGAATCTTAGTTTAACTTAGAAGATAATTTTATACAGTATTTGTTATGTGTAACAGTTCATCTTGTTCATCCGATTCTTTTAGTAAATGTTTTAAATGCAGGATAGCCAGCCTTTGTGTGAAATGCTTATTGAAATGTATTTTAGGCCAGGCGCGGTGGCTCACGCCTGTAATCCTAGCTCTCTGGGAGGCCGAGGCGGGCGGATTGTTTGAGCTCAGGAGTTCGAAACCAGC